CGGGCCGCCGCCCCCCTCCCGCGGCCAGGGGGGGAGGGGGCGGGAGGGGCGCCTGGACCAGCCGTATGCGTGCAGGATGGTGTCCCGCGCGCGCTGGCTCCTGCGCTGCGGGGGCGGGCGGGTTATGGCGGCGCCCACGGGGGTGAGGCGCAATGATCTCCTCCTCCTCCTCCTCCTCCTCCGCCTCCTCCGCCTCCTCCTCCTCCTGCTCCTCCTCCTCCTGCTCCTCCTCCACCTCTCTCCTCCTCCTCCTCCTCCTCCCGACTGGCATAGGGGGGGGGGGGGGCACACGGACCTGGAATCGGCAGTACATCGCCGATAGATCGGCGAGAGGCCCCCGATAGTGAGGCCGCACTTTCCTGAGCAGGTTGAGCCGCCCATCGGGCCCCTATCGGCGATCCATCGGCGGTTGGAGGTAGATGCGTCCCCCCCTATGCCTTTCCCCTCCCTATCGTTGCCCCTGACAGGGGGTATAGGGGGAAGGGGGGAAGCTTCTTAGAAGGAGGCTGCTTCTCAGAAGGCGCCGTTCTCACATCTGTGAACAGGGCCCGCGCCTTCTACGAAGCAGCCTCCTTCTAAGAACCCTTCGCCCCTCCCCCGACCCCACCCGTGCGCGTCGCCAATCGGCTAGACGTAAGAGTGACCCTGGGTAAGAGTGACCTTTGGTGCGCAGCTTTTGGGGGCGCGAGGGAGCCAAACCCAGGGCGCGAACCGCTTATATATATATATATATATATATATATCGCATCGCGCTCGGCGATCGGGGGGAGCCCGATGAGCCCGCACCAAAGGTCACTCCGGCGAAGGGTCATTCCTACGTGTAGTCGAGCCAAGTGGGGGCGCTCGGTCGAGGAGCCCCAGGCTTCGTCGAGCCATGGACAACTCACGGCGGGAGGTTCTGCGATGTGCTCTCAGCCCTGGGGCCCCTGCCGGGCCTCGGGACCGTCTGCGCACGACTCCGCACGAAACGCCGGTCCCGAGGAATGGGTCGAGACCTCCGGGGGTCGACGCCACGAAGCAGGGATGGCGTCGGGGGTCTCGGACGGGGAGGATGGCAACGCGGATGATGAGCTGAACAGCCGAGCGAGAGGAGACGAGGGGGGATGGGGAGGAGGGATAAAGCGAGGGGGTGCCCAGCTCGTGGGGCAGGGGAGACATCGCCCTCGAATCTGCGACACGTCGGCGATACGTCGGCGATGGGCCCCGGCAGCGAAGCCGCACGCTCCTATGGGCGGGGTGGGCCTGCGGCCCCCCCCCCCGCCCGGCGATCCATGTGCGATGCGGGGTTCGAGGCGCCCCTCCCCGAGCCCCTGAGAGGAGCTGAGCGAGAAGAAACGGGGAGGATGGGGAGGAAGAGGAAGATGAGGCGGCACATGATGCGGCAGGAGAGAAGGCGGAGTAGGATGGCACTGCGGGCGGCAGTTCGTCGACCGGCAGAGTCGCCACACGACCTGCCCTTTCGCGGCAAGAGCCCCGTGCGCGACCTGCCTCTCACTGTTCCGAGCCTGCTGCCACGGCTTTTGAACCCGAAACGGTTCCGGGCTGGGCAAAGCACTGCCAGTCGAGCGCTTAGCATTCTCAGCAGACGGGCGGTACGGCCTTGCCACTCCTCGTCAGCAGCTGCCCGCGACGATTCCCGCCTGCGCATCGGCTGCTCATCGCCTGCACCTCTGCGCAGGCCCGCTCTGCCCCCGAGGCAGCGGTCGTGGCGCGGATGCCGCCCGATCTGTGCTCCCGCGCGAATCGGATGCGATGCTCCCGCCCGCCCTTAGAAATAGGGGAGCAAACAATGCCATGATCGGGGTCCACCAAAGGGGGGCGACCCTTAGGAGGGCATGAGAGTTCGATCCGCTGGTGCACCGAACCGCCGCAGACAGGTGCCCCCCGCATGCCCCACCCATCGGCAATTGTCGGGAGCTGCCTGAGGCTGGGGGGGGCATCTGTTTTGGGCGGTTCGGTGCAAAAACCGATCGAACTCACACCCTCCCCGGGGCACACCCCGGGATCCTGGCATGAACATAAACTTTCGGAGGTCCGCGCGGATTTCTCGGATCATCGCTGGAGCCCCCCGGCGGCGCCTCCAGGGCCGCCCCTGGCGCGCTCCGCGCGCCAAGGAGTGGGGTCCAGAAAATCCGCGCGGACCTCCGGAAGCTTGTCTGTCTCACTATCTGCTTCCCTATTGCTAATGATGTCTCGTCGGCGCACCATTCACTGGGCGCCGAGCAGCAACAAAAACAAGCGCTTCTGGGCGCAAATGGGGCCACACGCCGCAAGAGCTGGCCACGTGTATGCTTGTCTCGCCGGCGTCTCCCTATCCACCTCTTCCTCTCATCCTCGTCATCCTGGTCCTTCGAAAATCCTCTCATGCCTAGTCCCACCTAAGTGAACTGATCAGGTTCCCTCTTGCAGAAATCAGTCAGACAGCGCACCCAGTCGTGACGAAGGCCGTGACACGCATGCTGTATGGTTCAGGGCTCGGGGGCTAACCGCCACTGGTTCCACAAGCATGGCTACGAGCCTCTCGGACAAGCGAAACGGTGCAGAAAGCCATCCTTGCACAGTGATTTTGACCTGGAACCCGCCTGGAACGTAGAGTCCATATGACAGATCGCAGGTCGTCATATACAACTGCTTCATGGAACTACGCATCATCGTCATCTTCCCGCGCCTCCCTTCCTCCTCCCTCTCCTCCTCGCTCCAGGAGGCCCAGGTGGGAAGGCAGTGCCTGCGCAGCATGCTAACCATTGTGCAGTCGGAGGCGATGACAAGGGCGAACAGTCCAGGGGCGGGCATTGCACGCATCCGCAGGGGAAGCCTCGCCGAAGACATGGACCGCAGGCGCCCCTGGATACATGTATTGCTCCCCCCCTGGGCTATTCGCCCCCACTGCAGCTTCCCATGCACGGCGCATCTCCCGAACAACTTCTCCTGCCGCTTGCGATCTCTGCCTGGCCCTGTGCCCCAGCCCGAGCGATCTCTTCCTGGCCCCGTGCCCCAGCCCGGCACGAGTGGGCGAGAAAGGTGTGAGTTGTTGTATCGCACTCAAGCCGAGAATCGTCATCACCGCGTCGAGTGATTGCACATACAGTGCATAGGTAGCTGCAGGTGTGCATGCATGCATGCGTATGTTGCGTGAAATTGTTGAGCCACTGGGGTCGAATATGGATGTCACTGGAAACGTCCAGGCAGGGAGAACTGCGCCATCATAGCTTGAGAGCTATCTCTCTCTCTCTCTCTCTCTGTCTCTATCGTTCCCCACGCCAAGCGAAACCCACATGTCTCCCTGCGGCATACGTAGAGAACTAAACAATTGCATGATAATGCATGGTGCCAGAGAATACCACAAACTTAATCTTGTTAGAGCTATAGGGCTATGGGGCTATAGGACTATAGAGCTATAGGTCTAGAGGCCTATAGGCACATAGGGCTATAGTCATATAGAGCTACAGGACTATAGGGCTATAGAGCTATAAGGCTACAAGGCTAGAAAGCTACAAAGCTTGAAAGGGCTATACGGCATAGGGTTATAGGGTTGTATGGCTGTGGGGCTATAGGGTTATAGGGCTATAGGGCTATAAGGTCTATAGGGTTATAGGGCTATGGGGCGATAAGGCTACAGGGCTATAGCGCTATAGGGCTATAAGGCGACTGGGGCTATAGGACTATAGGGCCATAGGGCTGGGCTGTTGGGCCATCCGAGCTATAGGGCTACAGGGCTATAGGACTATAGGGCTATAAGGCTATAGTGCGATATGGCTATAGGACTCAGGGCTATAGGGCTACCTGGCACCCGGGCACCCAGGTACCCCGGCACCCGGGCACCCAGGCGTGCCGCCGATATAGGCGCCACAGCTAACCTAACCATATGAATCCGCTAGGACCCCTACAGAGGCAAGCTCCGAGTGGGGAACAACTCGGAGGTCCGCGCAGATGTCTTGGATCGGCGCTGGACCCCACCTCCCTGGCGCGCCATGGGTGGCGCCCGCGGCGCGGGGAGGCCCCAGCGCCGATCCGAGGAGTCCGCGCGGACCTCAAAGTTGCCATGCCTATGCCCTTGCCTGCTCCCCCAGACGAGCGCGACGGTCCAGAAGACCACGAACGCGCCGCAGACGTCCCGCTGGTGCGCCTGCATGTCCGAGTGCTCGCTGCGAAGGGGCGGGCGGGGAGGGGGCACCCGGCGCCCCTGCGGACCGCCGCCGCCCGAGCTCGACCAGCCCTTCGATGGGCCATCGAGGGCCCTCGGCCCTCGAAGGGCCCCAGAAGACCTCCACGGAGAGGAGACCACTCGGGCGGCGCTGTAGATCAACACTCGATGATCCTCAGAAGGTGTGGTAGCGCCGACGTGCGTGTTGTCCACAGGGGCCCTGCAATACGGCGTGGGCGGCGCAACGAGGGCCGACACAGGCTGCGCGCGATCGGCGGAACCGAGCGGGGCGAACACACGCTTGGGTTAACACACGCCCTATGGATCATCGAAACACGCGACGTGCTTCCGCAGTGGCGTAGCGGGGAGGTGCGCACCTCGGCGGCGCGGCCCGGGGGGGAATGGAGAGGGGGCGGGCGTGCTCGGAAAGCTCGGGAGGCCTCTGGCCTTCCGAGAAACTTCTGGAGCCTGCACCGAAGACACTCTTTGCGTCGGCGGCTAGGCAGAGTAACTGCGCTGGCGGAGAGCTGCCTAAACGGGGGTGCCGTTGTGGCGAATTGTGCCACCATGCAAGAGGAGGGGACATGGCAGAGGAAACGGCCGAAAGAGGGGGCGTGAAGGGAGCGAGGCCGCTTAGGGGGACGGGTCACGCCCCGAGCGCGTGGCGCGGCCCGCCCCGCCGGCGGACACCGAAGACACAGACGGCGTCCCAGAAGGCGCAAGCCTTCTGAGCCCTGGTGTCTTCTTGGAAGGCCTGCCCCCCTTTCACTTCCCCCCCTCGGCGCGTCGCCGAGTAATACCGTTTGGGGGGCAAGCGCCTTTGTATGCGCTGCTCACGCCTGCGAACTTGGCAACGAGTGATTGGTGCAGCCGTGCCTGGGTTGCAAGAAGAGGCCGCGCAGAGAGGAGAACGCTACATCGACCACCCCACCTGCTGCCCACGCTTGTCCCCAGCATTGTGATCTTGGTGGGGGGCGGGCAAATACTGAGAGCGCCACTCCCCGAACCAGGGGTTCGAGGCGAAGCCCGCCGTGGCGACGAGGGAAGGGCACGCAGCGGTATCGGCATACGTGTCCTTCCTGAGTTGTAGCGCGAACTCGGGGAGACTTGACAGAATTGGAAGATGGGGACGTGCAGCATCTGTGGGGGGTAGCCCCCCCCCCCTACTCGGGAAACGAAGCGCCCTTGAACACCGTGTTCGTGCGGTGCCGCGGTGCCGTGGCCTCGCGGTGTCGCGCGGTGTTGTTGTTCCGTTGTGTCGTTATACAATTGACACATACGATACGAAACACTGGTACGAGATATCTTGGAGTAAAATATTTGTCGATCTTTGAGGGACCCGTGCCCTAGAATTTCTGCGGGTTCATGGCGCGACCAGAGGGTCAAACATTTCCGCGGGGCATTTGCTGGCAAACCGATGTCTCAACTGATGTGCCTTCTGCGTCGAGGTGCTATGGAGCCAACGTGCGAGTCGACCCTGCAGGTATTTTGACCGAACTGCGGCCCATTTGAGGACCCGCTGGGAGCAGATCGTGAAAAAAGCTGTGGAACACTCGTGGGACTACTTGAACTCAATCGGGAATCAATTCCGCGTGAAGTATCGCTCAAATGTGGTCTGTTACTGCGTCGGTTGCATGACGCAGTGGTGGAATCAATGTGTTGCGATGGTGAGCCGATGTGGATCGACTGCGAACTGACAGTCCCCACAAACCAATATGTTGCGCAACACGACCGAACTGCTGGTGAACCATTTGCGCGTCAGTTCCGAACCAACGTGGCATCAACTGGAATGTCGTTTCCAAATCCGTGCTGACCGTGGCCAGATCCAAATAAATCTGAGTGCCCGACTTGTCAAGAACTGCGTTAGGACACGACGACGAAGACGTGCACATGCGGCAGCTAGTGTGGGCACATATACTGAGGTGATGAGTTATGCGCGAACGTACGTATGGAGGGGCTTCTTGTGTGCCTGGGAGCGTGCCACATGAATGAAACTTACTTTGCTTCAGGCAATCCCCGAAGAAACCTTCGGAATTTGGACCAAAGGGTGCGCACGCCTGTTGAATGTACGCGTACACTCACTCGGGAGAGGAGGCACAGGAGACAACTGCGGACGAAAGGGGATGTGGGCAGATGAACGGCAAGTGACTGTTTGGCTCCCCGTTCCCGTTCCTGCCTCGTCCTCCTCCTCCTCCTCCTCCTCCTCCTCCTCCTCATCCGCCACCTCCTCCTCTCGGCGGCGGCTTGGGCCGCCGGGGAGTGCGGACCGGCAGTTGCAACCAACCGGCCGGCGCGCCGCATAGGAGTGCAAGTCCAGATAACAACCTCAACCTGCCAGATGGCTGACTAAACCTGCCGACCTCACAATCTCAACCAGTCGGGTGACGCACAACATGTAGCGTGTCGTTTTTGGCTTGCATCGGGCGCTTTCTGCCAAGACTAGTCGCTCTCGTCTGCCATGGTTCTGTCATGCCTATTCGTGTTCGTCTGTCCTGGTCCTACCATGTTCTGGCATCCGCATTGGCGGGATATGAAGGAGAAGGGGGCTGTCGGGCCAAACATAATGCTGATTGAGAAATGTGGATCACATGCACCATGTTGTATTGTGATGCAGGCTGCCATTATTCAAAGACTGTCTGCCATGGCGCTTGTCGTGTCTGAGCGGCAGTTGCTGTGCAAGGTTCTTTCGGAGTGGCGTGACGGCGCGACGCCTGGCATGCAAGCTGAGTTGTATATTACTTATATCACTGTGTACTCCCATGCTATTTGCGGTTTATACTGTTGTCCCTAGTAGTGTCTGCCATTTTAAGTCAATCATTGCTGCGTCTATGCTTTCTCGGGCGGCGTGACGTCGGGACATCTGTAATGCCTGCTTGGCCGTGGAGCGCACCACTGTGTCACATTATGCTGTCCATCGTGTTCTCAGTCTGTCTGCCGTTTCGCTTTTCGCTTCTAAGCTGTCGTTGATACGATGGTGTGCTCCCCAACCGTTTTGTGGTGTTGGGCCTTCGTCTTGAAGAGACAGCGCCCCGAGTCCTCTCCCCCTCTCCTCTCCTCCTCCTCCCCCTCCTCCCATCCCTGCCTTTGCCCTCCGAATGTCCACGTCGGCACGTCCCGCACACGCTTCGTGGCCTCGTAGGGTGCTCCCCCGGCGTTCCCAGTGGCTGCGCCAGCATGGCGGCAACCGGACCACTTCCCGCACACCCCTCGCTCGTTTCTTGACCCTCTGGGGAACTCCACCGACGGCTCAAACTGGCCATCGCTCGGACGTCCATGCCCTGTGTTGTTTTCGATTTCGTGCGTGGTTTTTTCGCCAAATGATCAAGGATGTTCCTCGATGGCCCTCGCCGAAAGAAAAATGCACACGTCCGAGCGATGCCGAGCAAATGGCTGCGTTCGCATGGCGGCACCGCAATCCCTTCGGCACGCCCCTCGCGCCTCCCGTGGCACCCTTTCGGCGGTGGACAAACCTCCCTTTAGTACCTACTCCCCTTAGTGAAAACGGCCTGGGACCGAAACCGACGGACCTGGACCCGCAAAAGTGACGGCCGCGACGCCCTCTCGCGAACCAAAAACGGCCAATTCCTTAATCGACGTGCCAAGCAAGGTAGGAGGTCGATCCAACTCCGACCCTGGGAGGCTCCCAGTGGCCTTCGCGTGGCGGCGCCGCACCCACTCCGGCACACCGCCCGCACGCCTCGGGGTGCCCCCCCCGAGCCCCCCGCGGCGGCGCCCGCACGGCGACACCGCGCCCCTGCTGACACACCCCTCACACCTCCCGCGGCCCCCTATTGAAGTCGGGCCTGTCCCCCTACAGTTATGTCGGGCGTGTCCCCCTACACGGGGATTTTCGACGAAAGAATAAAAATGCCACCAAAATACTCCAAAAAGGCCAAACAATACTCAAAAAATAGTCCCCGGACTATTTCTGAAGCATTTTTGGATTATTTTGGGGGTATTTTCATTTTTCGTCGAGAATCCCCCTGTAGGGGGACAGGCCCGACATAACCCTACAGGGGGATTTTCGACGAAAAATTAAAAATATACCGAAAATAATCCCCCTGTAGGGGGACAGGCCCGACTTAACCCCACATGGAGCTCCACCGAAGGCGCCAAATGGCTGCTTTCGCACACTTCGTTGCCCTGTACGGAGCTCCACCGAGGTTCCCAACGGCTGCGCCAGCATGGCGGCACCTCGCCCGTTTCGGCACACCCCTCACGCGCTTCGTGGCCCCATGGGGAGCCGCACCGGAGGCCCCAGGAACTGCCTTCGCATGGCGGCACCGCACCCATGTCGGCACACCCCTCACGCGTCTCGTCGCCTCACGGGGAGCTCTAGAGGGGCCAGCGTGGCTGCTTTCGCATGAGGGCACCACAAGCTTCGTGGCCCCATATGAAGGCTCCACCGAGGGTCCCAATGACTGCGTTCGCATGGCGGCACAGCATCCGTTCCGGTACAGCCTTCATACGCTTCGTGGCGCTGTGAAGAACTCCACCGAGGGCCCCGGTGATAGCGTTCGCAGGGCGGCACCGCAACCATTTCGGCATACTCGTTTTCGTGCACCCATACGGTGCTCCATCGAAAGCTCCAGTGGCTGCGACCGCATGCTGGCACGCCCCTCACCCGCTCCGTGGCCCCATGGGGAGCTCCACGGGAGGCCCGCGTGGCTGAGATCGCATGGGGGCACCGAGCCCACTGCGGCACACCCCTCACGCCTTCCGTGGCTCTGTGGAGAGCTCCACCGAAGGTTGCTCACAACTGCACATGGTTTGGTTCTTCGCCCGGGTAGTTTGTATTTCTCCTGTTGGCGTGCCGTCGCGCCGCCTGTCCTGTCTGACCCTTGCGCGGATCACCTCGCCTGCAATCAAAGAAAGATCTTGCCATTTGGCTTTTGGAATACGCGGTTTCGCCTCTGTTGGTCGAGGGCCGCTGCCCGGCTGCTGCCACGGCTCCTGCTGCCGCTGCTGGCCGCGCCGGCGCACGCAGCATGGAACCCATTC